TTACGGCCTACAAGACACCCACGTTTTACAAGCTCCAATACTGATCTGCCCGGACTTCCAGAGAAGATTTTTTTTACAATCGGACGCTTCGAACCACGGTTTAGGAGTAGCTTTAGTACAAACAAACGACAAAGGACAGGAACAAGTCATCGCTTACGCAAGTCGAAACCTAACAAAGGCCGAAAAAAATTACAGCGTGACAGAAAAAGAACTACTAGCGATCATCTTCGGTGTAGAAAAGATGAAACCCTACATCGAAGGATACCCATTTTCAATTATCACAGACCATCAAAGTCTACGATACTTACAAACAATGGAAAACCCTACAGGTAGAATAGCTAGATGGGCAATGCTGCTGCAACAATTTGACTTCGATGTCATTTACAGAAAGGGCTCCCAGAACGTCCTGGCCGACGCGCTCTCTAGAGAACCAGTAGATCTGGTTTGCTTAATAAACGTAGAAGATGTAGAACCCGACGAATGGTACAATAAAGCTTTAAATAAAATCCAGACAAATCCGCAACTATTTCCAGACTACTCTATCAAAGATGGACTTCTCTATCGACACTTCTGGGACAAATACGATTTAAAAGAGACAGAGGTATCCAACCCCTGGAAACTATGCATCCCAAACCACAAGAGACAACAACTCCTGGCAGAAAACCACGAGCAACCGACCGCAGGACATCTAGGAATAGCTAAAACAATAACCCGCCTAGCTAGAAAATACTACTGGCCAGGGATGTTTAAAGACGCCGCAAAGTTCGTCAGGAACTGCAAGAATTGTCAGCAATTTAAGCCGCAACAAAGCTTAACTCCAGGCCGCATGCAATCTACACAAATTCCCCCACATCCATGGCACACCGTTTCAACCGACATCATAGGACCCCTTCCAACATCCAGCAAAGGAAACAAATATATAATGACATTCCAGGACACCTTTTCAAAATGGGTCGAAGCCATACCGATCAGAACAGCAACGGCAAAATCAGTCTGTCAAAACTTAAAAGATAAAATCATTATGAGATTCGGATCACCCAAAGAGCTAATATCAGACAACGCAAGAACATACGATAACAGGGAAGTACGAAAGTTGCTAGATGAATTCCAGATTTCTAAAAGAAACATTCCGCCATATTCACCCCAGAATAATCCAGTAGAAAGAACAAACAGAGTAATCAAAACAATGATAGCTCAGTTCTGCGATAATAACCATAAGAAATGGGACACGAGCCTTCCAGAACTACTATTCGCATATAATACAGCTAAACACGATTCAACGGGTTTCTCCCCAGCCTTCCTGAACTTTGGACACGAACTAGAAATTCCAAGTAAAGTCGTAAAAACCCCAAACGACACACAACATACCGATCAAAACATAAAATGGCATAAACTACAAGAAACATTCGAACTAGTACGTACAAACCTGGCAAAAGCTTTTACAACTCAAAGCCATTACTACAACTTACGACGAAGAGAGTGGAAACCGACAATAAACGACAAAGTCATGAAAAGGGAATACCAACTCTCAAATGCCGCCAAAAATTTTAACGCCAAATTAGCACCGAAATTTTCAGGCCCATATACTATAACAAAAGTGTGTTCTAATGTAATATTCAAATTAAAACACGACGATAAAAACCGTACAATAACAGCTCATATCAAAGACCTAAAACCCGCATTTACCGATTTCCCTACTCCTTAATCAGTCCAAGCACTTACAGTCAACACCAAGTAGTGACAGTATATTTTAATACAGTTTACCAGTAACCTTCAAGTATAATGTCAGACACGTTAGAAATATATTACAGTGACATAGAAATGGACGGCACAGTTACGCCGCCACCATACACCGTTCCAGAGTTAATATCACCATTGGGGAACACACCAAAACCTAACACCCCGGGCAAAGGCTGCGAGCCCCTGATAAAGGCTATTTCCAAATTTAAAAACCTTTTCGATGAACCAGCCATGGGCATCACAAAAATTCAGAAAGTCCAGTCAATTCCAGTGTCAATCCCGCTGCTCTCACTAATTCCGCCGCAGCATAAAGGAAAAAAATACAGACTGAGACTCCCGAACCAGGTGCTGAGGATAAAAACCAATAATTGAAGCCCCACGAAGGAAGACGTTTTTTAAGAGAGGGGAAGACGATTTTTTTTTAAGAAGACGATATTTATTTTTTTTTAGGGCGGACATTTTTTATTTCGATGTATTGTAAATTGTTTTTTAGGGTAACCAAGTACCTGGCAAGGAATAAAAATAAAAAAATTTTGTTCCAAAATTTTTTTTTCCCAGGAAGAGGGGGTGTAACGATGAGTCCAAGCCATCACCGTTAAGCCAGCGTGCGCGCGAACCAACCCATGAAGTAGGAGTGTATCGACAGTAGAAAGGGCAAATCTTTGCTATATAAACCGCATTATTTCCTCATAGAGGCAGAATCGTCAGGTGTTGACTGAAGGTTCTCTTCTCCCCTACCCCGGCTTGTGGACGTGTTGAGTTCACAAGTTGTTTCCGTTCCATACCGCCGTTATCCGGAGAGCGTGTTGAGCTCTCCACTACCCGTACTCCGAAGCAGTCGTGTTGAGACTGTCGAGGAGTGTCCTATTAACCCGAATCACTTGAGGGACGTGTTGAGTTTCTTTCTTTCCTTTGTACCTATCGTCCGCTGTTATTAAATCGACACATCGTTCACGTAAAATTCCGAAAACACACTTGATTGCCGATAACACTAATTTCATACGACAAGGTCAAACTTAATTTGAATAAATAGGCCAGGTACTGAGAAGACTAAACTAAATTGTAAATATGTACATAAGATTTTTGTCAATTTAATTTAAGGAAGACAATAAAGTTTTATTTTTATTTTGAACTCTGTCTCTGACTGTCCAAAAGCTACCCGGATAGTGACTCCTACGAGAGGACGTCACAAGTTTATAAAACGGTTACTAAACAAGGTTTACGATACCATTCCATCCTTAGCATGCCATCATTGCCACGATGGATTAGCATGTCCAAAAAAGGAATCATATTATCAGCCTCTCTCTCAACCGTAAACTTCAGGTGTTCACATTGGGTGTTAAAAGTATATAAAACATCAGTTACCTTGTTTTCAAGGACTGATAAAATCAAATCATCTACATGCCGTTTAATAAAAGGTATGTGAAAAGGTATCTTTTCTTTACACGTTGTTATAAGTTCATCCAAAACAACTGGATGTTTGGTTATGACCAAACCGTTATGACATACTCCTTGGTGATCAGGGAGCCTAAGTATGTAAATTTGTTCACCTCTTCAAAGGTAGAGTTATCAACAGTGAATTGGTGGCCGATATTTCTGGCTTTATTGTTGGGTTGATGACATTATCTTAGTTTTCTCCTCATTTACTTGCAGGCCCATATTTTTTGAGGCATTTGACAAGGTGGTATACATTTCTTCAAGTTTGCTTGTTGTGAGGGCAACAACATCTGCATATGGCAAAATTTGGGATGACTTATTAAAAATGTTTCCTCTGTTGTCTATTTGGGCATCCCTGACCGCCTTTTCCAGAGCTATGTTGAAAACGAGACGCGCCAGCGCATCTACCTGTCGCAGTCCAACATGCGTTTCAAATGCCTGTGATTGTTCGCTCTGTATTTCGACTTTGCAAACAACTGTACGCATTGTAACCTTAACCAATCTTATCACTTTATTGGGGATGTGAAATTCATCCATGACTTCATACAATTTATTTCTTAGGACACTATCATAGGCCGATTTAAAATCTACGAAAAGATGGTATGTGTCGATATTGAATTCATTGGTTTTTTCCATTATTTGCCTTAGTACAAAATCTGGTCTGTTGTTGATCCACCAGGCCTAAAACCAGCTTTTAGACACACCTAAATTTTGAAAATAATTTTCTAAAATATTTTTGCTTCTGTTCTTTTTGTACTCTATTTAGAAATGATAAAGTTTTGTAAATATGTGAATGTAGTGTATGTAAATATTTTTGCAACTATTATAAGTTTAGTAGACACTGATAAAGACCGGCTATTAAATACACATAACAATTAAATAAGTAATGCAAATCGAAAATAGAAGAACGATCCTGTCCAGAGGCGATCCCCGTTGCCTTGCGGTAGACACTTATCGATAATAAATATTAATGACTCTCTTAGATCTCTGGTAGGACTATACCTGAACTAAACAACTATCAGAAAACATAAAAAAGACCTAAGAAAAACTGCTTAAAAGATCTTAATAGTCACTTGGACAGATTCGAATGTAGATATGAGCATTGAATCGTTTTGTAATGCCCGTTTGGCCGCTTCTTCTCGATCGACGATGTTAAATACAATAAATGTGTAAGTGGCCGAGTAAAAATTATGATGTTATTGATAGCTACTAATAATTACACTATAGATGTTGGTAAGGATACTTTCTACGATAGACTGCTCTCAAATGAGCTCAAATCCCAAATTTATAATTTCACAAATAATGTATACCTTAGCACAGAGGTTAATACTTCTATTATACTTACAAACTTTGAACTATGACCGCACAATACAATTTAATGAAATACCGAAATATATTATTCGGCAATTTATTAAGTTGCAGGTAAATGGACTAATTAATAAAATATTATACGATATCTTTTTCACAATGTTATAATTATACACGGTGAACTATGAAAGGTTAAGAATAATGTGAGATTACAAATTAAGGGATTAATTTGTGATTGAACACACTAGTACAATGCAACTTTATACACACTAGTATAGTTTACTCTATGAGACAACAATTTTAAGCACATTAACTTATTACTTTAAATATTTTAAGAAGTCGATTGTAAATTTGCGTTCAATATTTAAAAAAAGAAAATTTTTTATTAAGATTGTAAAAGTCCCGATATCAAAAAAAGGTCGAACATTAAGTTATCCACGGTTTGTGACAGTTCTAGATTTATATACAAAAAAATACGAACATTGAGTTTTACAAATACTATATAAATAAGTTACCTTTGCCAGTTTTTCCTCAGTTTTTGCAATAATCGTCTCGTAGCTCTCTCTATGCGAGAAAACTTTCCTAGATTGTATCTTTCGATGAAAGGACCTCTCCAATAATGGCCTTGACACCTGCCTTCCTAGAATCGAAGCGATATCTCCAAGAGCTTGCGAGTCGATTTCCACTTCTTGGAGAAGAGTCTCCCACGTATGAAATAACGAACTGGGACATGCCGGTCTGAAAATAACAAATAAGCAAAATTGTTAGATTTTGTAAGTGCTTTTCAGTATAAGATAATTGGCAGTATCACATTATTGAAAAGCCGAGAGTTGGTTTCAGCAGAAATTGTTATCTAACATACGTAGATCAAGGTTAGTTAGTTTAATTGAATGTCGAGTTTCCTTTTTGAAATCTACTTCGTTGCATAAAGTTTTTGGTGGCGTAACAATGTAGAATTAGGTAACTTGTCTATGCTACCTTGATACATTATAATCTTATAATAAAACAAATTGAAAATATTGGAATATTACCAATTCTTTAAACACAAATATTTTTATTTATTTGCAAGACAAAGTAATAAATAAGTAAATATTATATAAAGTTAGTAGTAGTAAATAGTAATATGCACATGTAGATGTACTACCAAGGTAAGTAGTTAGGGTAACGGGATATGATTTCTGCAAAAAAATGTTTAATAATCGAGAAGTTTGTATATGTTATAGTTTATTCGTCCTCCGGGTTTGGACCGTGTCATTTGTGAGTGACCCAAAAGTGGGTTCATCTCGACGTTTCGCTACAATTGTATGTAGCTTCTTCAGGAGAACAAAGAAAAAAGAAAAAGAAATCAAAGGACAGGAAGATGGGTAGTTAGCAACGGTAACTCAGTTACTCAACGCAACCAAAGGCGAATACTAACTACCAAGATGGGCATTTGGTCACAGTAACTCAACTACTTAACGCAGCCAGAGGTGAAAACCAAATGCCAGGACAGGGATTCACGTCCAACAGCTCAGAATACTAACGCGTCGAGAGGCGGGGAGTGAATCCGACGATTACTCCGCTACCGCTCTATTTATAGTCGCGGTGACCTGTTGTGTCGGGACGTATCGGCACACTTCGTGGCGCGAACGTCAAGAAGCGCGCGCTGGCCAATCATGTGGCTGCATCGTGGTAGCGGGACCGGACGGCGGCTCTAGACTGAGATTCCAGATGGGAGACAAGTAGTATCCTTCCTCTCGATTGATATTATGTGGATTTTTTCGGATCTCTAGAGATTCGCGGATTTTCCTGGAATAAAAGAAGGGGCTCTTAGAAATAATATGGGTTTTTTCGAACAATATGGAATGACCGGTTTCTTGGCAGTGTTCTGCAACTGCAGAATGGGAGAAAAGACCTGATCGAATGCATCTTTGATGCTCTTGAATCCGAGTTTTGACGGAACGACCAGTTTCGCCAATATACACATGTCCACATGAACAAGGAATAGAATAGACACCACAGGAAGATAGGGGCGGGAATGGGTCCTTAGGAGAGGGTAGATATTGTGAGATTTTCTTGGGTGGTCGAAAAGTAGTCCTGATACCTTCTTTGCGAAAAATTTTGCCAATCCTATCAGTGACGCTTCGAATATACGGAAGAAAAGCCACAGGAGTATTACCCGAAGATTCTGAATTTGTCGTCCTAGGGTGTAAAGGGGGATGTAGATGTCGGTGTGTAATATTTTGAATTGTGGACTTGGAGTAACCATTGGCGACAAGGGTTTTTTGCAGATGGCCAAGTTCTTCGCTAAGGTTGTCGGGTTCAGAAATCGAAATGGCCCGATGGATGAGAGAGTTGATCACAGAATTCTTTTGGGCAGGATGGTGGTGTGATGAAGCATGTAGGAAACGATTCGTGTAAGTCTTTTTTCTATAAACAAAGTGACCCAATCGGCCATTGGGCTTGGAGGTGACTAACACGTCGAAAAAGGGAAGGGACCGATTATTTTCTACTTCCATTGTGAATTTTATACTCGGATGTTGTGAGTTAAGATGATCTAGGAAGGGACAAAGGGTATGTTGACCATGGGGCCAGATGATAAATGTATCATCAACGTAGCGGAACCAGACTTTTGGTTTTAAGGGGTAAGATTCTAGGGCTAAACACTCAAAGGCTTCCATGAAAATGTCAGCAATGACAGGGGAAAGGGGAGAACCCATTGGTGTTCCAGAAATTTGTTTGTAGAAATTGCCTCTAAAAGAAAAATATGTTGAAAGGAGGCATTTTTCTGCAAGATCTGCCAAAACCAAAGACTTGTTATCATTGGTCAAGTGATCTCGCAGAACAACTAGAGAGTCATGTATGGGGATATTGGTAAATAGGGATGATACATCGAAACTGACGAGAATGTCTTGGGGATCGACCGTGAGGGAGGAGATTAAGGTGATGAAATGTGTGGAATTTCGGACATAAGAAGAGGTACGACCAGTATAGGTCTTAAACTGATTCGACAAGTACTTTGCGAGTTTGTAGGTAGGAGAGTTAATCGTTGTCACAATAGGACGAAGAGGTACGTTGTCTTTATGGATTTTGGAAAGACCGTAAATTCTGGGGCAGATGGAGTTTTTCGGAACTATGGACTTCTTAACATCATCGGAAAGATCGGATTGTTTGATGGCATGGGAAATTTCGCGTTCGACTCTAGGAGTGGGGTCTCGAGAAATTGTATTATAACAGGAGATGAACCCACTTTTGGGTCACTCACAAATGACACGGTATAAACCCGGAAGACGAATAAACTATAATTCTGACTCTGGCCGTGGAAGCCTACGATTTCATAAGCTTGTATATGATTTGGGATACTTTCTTAGTGTTAGGTCAATGGTCAGTAGGCGGGTTGTCCGTGGAGAAAAGATTGAATTTATATATAGCAATAGACTAAGTTGGTCCATGTTAAAATTTGTGAGTTTTATTATTTCTATTAGAGGAATACAATTTGTTGTCTTTTTAAAAGCGAGGATAAGAGGGTCCAAAATTTGAGAGAACAGAGGATGTTTGAAGTTTCGGCAATGTAGTTTATAGATAATTGCTGTCTCCTTATGTTTAAAGTGGCTCTTTAAAACTGGTCAAACTTGATAAGACAGAATTTTAAATATATTTAAGCTGGACTGACATGAATGTTGTAGATTATTGATATGCAAGTTTCAATTTAAGGTTCTGGTAAAAGGTAAACCTAAAAAATTAACTGATTGTTTTAATGATAAATTATTTAAAGTTAGGTAAGTTTAAAGTTAAGTACCGACATCTGTTTTTATTAAAAATTATGCAATGTGTTCTTTCTGTAGAGAAGTTAAACCCAGATTTAACGTCCAATTTTTAATCCGAGTTAAAAAAATTTGCCGATTCTGTATTGTTTGATTTAATATTAACGACGATGTCGACTGCAAAAAATACTGACTTTAATAGGTGCTCTAACTTCATGAATAATACTATTGATAGCAATTAAGAATATTGTTGGACTTATTATGGAACCTTGAGAGATTCTATTATGTAATGCTCTTGTTGAGCTTTTGAGGCCATTTATCCTAATTTCTATTGATCAATTATTTAAAAAAATGCAAATACGTTACCTTTAATCCCATTATCGCTTAGATTTTTCAAAATGCAATATCTCGAAGTTTTCTCAAAAGCTTGGCTTGTATTAAAAAAAAATTGCAAGCAGTTTTTGGTTGTTTGCAAAAGTTTCATTAATTGAGGTTTGTAAAGTAACATGGTTATCTGATGTCGATCTACCCCTTTGAAAGCCACTTTGATAAGGGAAACAGAGATTATTATTTTTCAAGTGCCATCCTAGACGAAGGTTTAAAATTTTTTTCAAGATTTTGCACATACTACAGGTAAGCGAGATGGGGCGCTAAGAAGTGGGCTTATCTTTAGGTTTATTTGGCTTGATGATGGGAATTATGACTGCCGGGGACCAAAGATCCAACGTCGAGTGCGCGTATAGAAGTATAACTTCAAAAACGTCAACAAGAAAAATACTCAAACTGCTGCTTTTTTTGAGAATAATCAAATACATTTATTGGATGATTACTTTATTGTAAACAAAATATTCCTGTATGCGTAAAAAGTGTGCTCACAAAACAAATTATTATTTAGAAATACCAAAGCTTTTTTTTGTTTCGCACTCAACCCCATTCAACAGAACGAACAATTCAGCAAATAAAATACATTTTTCGAACCCCATCCTCCTTAAACAAACAATAGTAACAACGAAGCAAGATTTGTGCTTATTTTTTTATTATTTCCGCTGGGGGTTGTTACGTGCAATCCGCCATAAAAAGTCGAATTGAATTTAACGAGGAAATATGAGAATATCCTGCGGAAATGTAAGGTTGTTTCTATATGACTGTTTCATTAATATGTATGTTACTTATTTTTTATCCTTAATAGCATTTAACATTTTTAGCAAGGGTTGTATATATTTTAATAAATATCATATTATAATGGCGAATGCTTTGAAAATAATTTATAAGTTAAAAATTTTTATTTAAAAAATCAATTTTTTTTTTCATTTTTTTATAAGCTGTTAATGAAAAAAGGAATGATTTGTATCATACTTATATAATCACAAAATTTACGAATTGAATAAAAACTTTGTCACCAATCTAAACATTTCATCATCATCACTGGCTCGACAACCCTTTTTGGGTCTTGGCCTGTTCAAGGATTCTTCTCCATTCTGACCTGTTTCGTGCTTTTTTTTTCCAGTTTTTAATTTTTAATGTTGTTATATCATTTTCTATTTGTTCTACGTATCTCAGCTTCGGTCTTCCTCTTGTTCTTTTTCCTACTGGCACTTGTTTGAATATTTTGTTTGGTATTTCGCCTTCTTCCATTCTTTCCACATGTCCAATCCAACGTAGCCTTCCTATTTTAATGAATGTTATGATATCCGGATCCTGGTATATGTTGTATAGTTCAAAGTTATACCTTCTCCGCCAAATCCCGTTTTCTTTTGTGCCCTTATATATGTGTCGCAAGATTTTTCTTTCAAAGGTGGCTAATAACGTTTCCTCCCTTTTAGAGAGTGTCCAGGTTTCTGAACCGTATGTGAGTACCGGTCTTATTAAGGTTTTGTATATTTGGCATTTTGTTTTTCTGGAGACGTTATCTGATCTTAGTTGCCTAATTAAGCCATGGTAACATTTATTGGCAATAAATATTCTCCTCTTCACTTCCTCTGCAACGTTGTTATC